ATTTCTAGTTACTAGCATGCCTCTCCCCTAGACAAGTCTGTTTATCATAGTTCCCCTCGTCATCACAGTTCCTATTCTTCATGAACTCTTTCCAAAACTCTCTAAGGTTATGTGATCCTTTAACTCCTCATAATCTTTGAGCTTTTTGAAATGCTTTATTTGGAGCACCAAGAAAAGTGGTTGGCAGAGAACAAGCACTCAAGAAACATTTATTGAATGAGTGAATAAATTAATAAATTAAACAGCAAAGCATACTCTACCCCTTTGCAATCAACAATAAGTATTTTCATGTTAAATGCTCTGAGAAGTCCTGCACTAAATAGATCCACTTAACTTTCCAAGTACCAGGCTTATTTGACCTCCTTGTTCTTTCCTCTCTTAATCCACTTACATAGCACACTTTCTGGGAAGCATGGTTTGGGGAATGGATAAATAGGGGATGAGCTACTAATGCACTATAAGATTTCATATTTAGAAAATATTAACCACTTTGTAATTTTAAAGTTCAGTCAAAGTAGTGATAGCCCAGGTTTTTGTTGTGTTCTATATATCATCATAAAAATCATTATAAACTCCTTCTTTATGCACATGATGCATTAGTGTTGTAAGATAAGAAGAAAATATGCATTTCCCTGTACTGCATTAGTAGTAAATCCCCAGTATGTTAAATCATCTGTCATTAGAAGTGATCAAAGGAAGCCAAATAAGAATGGATTTGGAGTTATATAACCAAAGCAAGACAATAACTACAAACTCTCATTCAATTATATCTAGTGTGTAGAGGCAGCAAGATTTGAAGATATTTCACTATGAACATGATTCATTCCTTTTACCTTTTAAAGTAAGATTTCCTTGCCAAAGATTCAAACTAAAAGTATTAATTGCTCTGTTCTACAATTGAAAAAAAAAAATGGGAAAAAAGGAAAAGAAAGAAGAAGAAATAAGATGTAAGGTTAGCCACACTTTTCAATGTCATTATTTCTAGATATCAGGGGTCAGCAAACTTTCTAAAAAGGGTCAGATAGTAAATATTTTAGCTGCAACTACTCGATTCTGCCATTGTAGCATGAAAGTAGCCAATGTACTAAAGAACAGACATGAAAGTGTTGCTGTTCAACGCTGTCTACAAAGTAGGCAGTGGCTGCATTTGGCCCACAAGTAACAGTTTTCTGTTGTACAGAACAATCTCCCCTCTCTATGGCTCTGACTGTGCGTGATAGAGCACACAACCTCTAGCGTGATGGGGTAGAAAAGATTCCTCAAAGTCAAATATTTTCTTACATTTTGTTCAACCTTAGTGCTCTCAATTCTCCTTTGGTCTCATTATTTTAACCATTGCTTGGGTCTAACACACTCCCACAGAGACTCTTCTTAAACACAGGAACAGATCAATACTCAGTAACTCATTCATTTATTCACTCATATCGGGGAGATCATTGGTAGATGGCCTATAGGTAAGTTTTATTTGGGGAGTTGTTGGTAGGGTGGGGCAGAGAAAACACCGCTGAAGGGTATGCAGGCCCTTCTTGACATTTCAGGCCACCTGGCAAAGGCCAAGGCAAGGGAGGGGGCAGAAGCAAAGAAGAGAGAGGGCTGGCCACCACCAGACCTGCTGGTGTCATTTCCCTGAGGCTGTCTGTGGCAGTTTAGTGGAATGTAATTGGGGCTCTGTTCTATTTCTGTATCTACATATACAGAATGCTGTTTGTGAAATATCTTGGGGGTGGGCAGAGGAGAGGGAGGAGGTTCTGTTTTGGCATGTGGGAGCTTTTCTGGTAGTGTCTTATATATGGGGTCACGAAAGAAATGCTTGTTGCTTTGAATTAGTTTACCTCCACTTCTAAAGAGGTTAACATTTCTCCAAGCTCGTTCGCCTCTTCATTCACTCCCATTGTATCGCTTTCTTTCCCATTCTAGCTTCTTCACGACCAAAATGAAAGAAGGATGGGTGGTAAAAAGAGACAGGAAGGTGGGAGGAAAGAGTTTAGGTTTGAAGAACAAGAAATAGGACAATTTTGGTTTTCCCATTCTAATCTCAACCTCTCTCCTGGCATGAAACATAATGACTTCTACAGAAATAATCGAGTTTACTTTAAAACATTTTACCAAGGACTACCTGAAACATCAGAAAATAATATTTCGGGGTTTATTTGATGTGAAGAAAGGAAAGGAGCATTCCGATGGAAAGTTAGAGTAACTCATTTTGAAATGTAGCTTTAGTAAGTATACAGGATTTGAAAAATCTGGCTACCCTTTACCATGGATAGTTTTCAACTTCTCAACATTTAAATTTTATTATTATGCATTTGAACTTATAAGTTCTTTTTTAAAAAACACTGTCTTTTTGTAATCAAAGTAAACCAAATAGAGACCCTCCTGAATCACGTATATTATTAAGTTCAAGTTTTTAATGTAACATTTACATCACAGCATTTCAATTTCATCTTGCCTGACCAGTGAAAACATAAAGGATGTTCAGTTAATAAAATAACCTGCAAGAAAATGTGTCATTTATTTTTTAAAATGATCTAACTTTATGGAACATAATCATGTATTTATATAAGAACTTGGAAAATCAAGTTCTTTGCTCACAATTTCATACAGTAAATGCACTTCAGTGGATATGAGTATTATATACAATATAAACAAAACATGAAAGGTTAATCTAGAATGGTAATGAAAATGTGGTTCGTAAATCTCCTATTTTTCTTAGATTCAAGTTCCTTGAGTGATCTGTTATGGCATCTAAGTCACAAATATTTAGACCTAGAAACAATGCCATGCAGCCCTGCAAATTAGTGCAGGTTTTCATCAACTACAAATCCCTTTTCATTTGCTTGCATATGTTTCTGTTTTATTTTTAATATTTTCCTCCAGATTGAATTTTGGACTTTACCCTCCCCATTTTTGTACAAGGTAACACCTAGTAATGAGCTGAAAGAATCCGTGTACTAAGTACAATAACAGATCTGAATTAATTACCCTATGATGCCCTTGACCTTGCTTATGGGAAGAAATGTGATTTCACTTGTGCACTTTAGCTCCAGCAGCTTAGACCGTAGGTAACACCACTGAACTTTTAAAATGAGAGGCTTCACGCCCAGTTGGTGTGGCTCAGCAGAGCATTGACCCATGCACCAAGAGGTCGCAGGTTCGATTCCCAGTCAGGGCACATGCCCAGGTTGTGGGCCAAATCCCCAGTGGGGGGCCTGCAGGAGGCAGCCAATCGATGTTTCCTTTTATTGATGTTTCTCTCTCTAACATCAATAAAAAACTTTTTTTTGAGAAAAAAAAATTTAAATGAGAGAATTCACTTTCTCTTCAAATAGCAAAGAATTCTCAAGTGGATAGGAAGGACTTAAAGAGGTCATTTGCCCTTCTTTGTCTCTATGACACATAGAGTTAATCATCAGATGAATCCCCAAAGATGCTCTTATCCAATTAAACAATCCAAAATATGTTTAATGTGTGTGTATTTAAAATAGTTAATGTATGTATATGCAAAGTAAAGAAATAAAATAAAAAAAGACAGAGAGAGAGGCAATAAATACTACATGAGCCTGTAAAGTCTATTACATCTTCCAATCTGGTCTCGCTAGCCAGACCCCAAGAGCTTCAATAAACAGGCCATGAACATGCTCCTCTAATAACCTGATTCACCACCGTCAGCAGAGGTGACATTGAAATCAGAACAGCATGTCCACTTCCTAATGGCATTGGTGAGAAAGATCCCCTTCACTTGTGCAGTGATGTATTTGGATTTGTAGTATGGTTTTGTTCTTTTTATTAGTATCAGGCTGTGGAAATTTCTCTCTCAACACTTATATTGCTGCTGGTGGTCACCTGGCTCCCCTCACCTCTCTGATTACTCAGCCCTTTCGGTGTCCTACAGCCTCACAAATCCAACCTTGCTCGCGAGGTTGCCGACCGGAAGCAGCTTTCCGTTTCTCAGTCTTCTAGAACTTCTGCTGTAACACACACTTTACTACTTAAACTATAATGTGTTTTTGTCTAAATCTTATCTTTCCAACAAATGGAAATTGCATTGGATTCAAATTTCTATCTTAAAACAAATATGAATTTTGAAGTCAATTGTTTCCGTGGTTAAAACATAATGTTTTAAACAGACTTTTTAAAATGGGGAAAGTAGGAGGAAATTTATGAACCAATGGCCTGTTGTTTTAATGCCTTTATAAGCATCTGACATCAGGTGGACACTGGCTGGCGAATGGAGTGGAATATCGCTGAATTCAGATGAGGTTATACAAAGAGAAAATGCTGAAGAATTCCCAGAACCCCGTCTTGTTTCTCAGAAACAGCATCTGTCTGTGTCAATGACTAGGGATTTTGTTTTTTCTCTTTGCTCTTGGTGTTTCCTTGGTGTTTAGTTTCCATCTTTGCCATTTAACATGTAGACATTTTGAACATCTTCATATGGGTAACTTTGTAAAGAGAGTTAGATTTCATTTGAATTGAAACCCAACATCTGGTTATTGTTCCCCAGTTGCCACTCCAAAATCCCACCAACTGGAATGGTTGATCACACACATTTCGTCAGTACACCCATCTTTGTGACAAGAAGTATTCGGGAGAGCAATCTTTTCACAGATCCATCAAAATACAGAACAGTCAATGGCTCAACCTCTCAGGTGTCCAATTTGTAGACAGTGGGAACAAAGTCTTCCTAGAAGTGCTTAAACTTCATAAGTCAACTCTTAAGACGGCGAATGGTTAAGTCCTGAATTTACACAGACGTCCGTCTACAAAGAATTGACCTCCCAAGCTTTGCCACTTTTGTTGATCACAGCAAATTCTTTCTTGCAAATAAGCATGTGCATTTCACTAGAAGGGGGAAAAAAAAAATGGCAAAACTGTCCTAGAAGTTGCCCATCCATTCGGCATTTGTGGACTTCACCCAGAGAAAGTAACTGTCATCTGCATGAATGAATAGTAAGCCGTATCTGACACTGAACAGATTCCCATTGAATAGAATTCAAGACATAAAGGAGAGAGCCCTGATTGATATGGATTCCGAAGCTGTGGCAGATTTGCGTGAAATGATCTTGCTTTATCCACTATACCCACCTTATCAAAAAGATACCAAGATGACCCAGATCCAAGAAATAACAACACATCGTTATCCCCCTGCGTTTGAAAAAGTGTTGAGGAGCCAGAGACAAGACAACCTGGTTGGCAACAGGCAGAGCAGGGCTGACATCCACCTGGTTGAACTTATCCACCAAGTTGAAGAGCTTGACCCCAGCCTTCTGGCCAACTTCCCTCCACTGAGGGCCCTGAAGACCAGAATCAGCAACCTCCCTACTGTGAAGTTTCTGCAGCCCGGCCGTTGGAGGAAGCCTCCTATAGATGTGAAAAAGTTAGAAGGAGCCAGGAAGATTTTCAAGTTTTAAATAAAGCAGGCCTACACGCCCAGGATATGCAGGATCCATCTTCTGGAATTTTCCAACAATGAAGTACTCTACCTAGATGCTGGCTGTTGTAAGGATAATAAGTTCCCCCCCAGGAATTAAAAACAAACACCTATGAGCAGATTTAGTTACAATTTATTCTTGTTCGTTAGGATCCAATATGAACTCAGATTTTCAGTCTCCTACTGCATCTCTCTTGGAATTAGAAATTAAATTTAAACAATGAAAATAAAGTATAGGATTCAATTGATGCATTTATTTTCAGATATTGATTGTGAACCTCCTCAATTCAAGGTTACATCGTACGTGTTAAAGAGGCCCCTGACCTCGCCTTATCCGAACTCAAGGTTTGTTACAGAGAAGGCTGCTAAAACCTCATGGCAGAAGGCACCTGGCCATGCAGAGATTTGGGGCAGCACATTGCTGGCGAGAGAACAGTAAGCACGTGAGTCCAAACTACCCTCCAGGGTAGCTGTAAGTAAGAACTGGCGCAGCTGTTTGAACAATGGGAAGAAGCCCAGCACGGCCTGAACACAGACCATTGAAAAGGTGGATTCTGTTTAGATTGTAGTGGGTAAAACAAAAGATGAGAGTGGTACATGAGAGGTAACTGGGTGTAGAAAAGTTTCCTAGAAGAAATTTCATCAAGTGAAACCTCAGCAGATGAAAGATGAGTAGGCGTTCAGAAGGTAACGGAGGGGGCAGGGCATTCAGACAGGTGATGCTGGACACAGGCCGAGCAAGGTGGCAAAGGGGAGGCAGGTGTGTCAGGACCAAGGATGTCAACAACCGGTGGCTTGCACGGCCAGGAATAGAGTTTCCACAGGTTTGTGGTAAGACTTGACTGACTGTGGTCCAGCAGCCTAGTACATCAGCGCTAGGTGAGTCTCTAAGTCCACCCCTAGTGGGGGAGCACAGTGCTGCAGCCGGGGTCTTGTCATCCCTACCCCATGTTAAATGCAGGGGACAAGTCAGTGAATGGCACAGAGAAGAACGTTTTCTCTCCGAGTACCTCTTTCTCATCATGGAAAAAATGATTTCCCACTTACCTCTCCAGAAAACATCCCCTAATACTTGTGTGCAATGCCCACCTTAGATGAAGAATCCAGTTTTCCTAAGCTCAAGAAATCTGTCTGATAAATCGAGATTTTCTTAGCAAGGAAGGGTGGGGACAATACCTGCTGTGGTGGCAGGCATCGTGTCTGCAGAGCAGGAGCTAGGGACAGAGGCCCTTGAATACTTTGTGTTAAGCAATAGATTTTCCTTCATGGGAAACCGGCCTCTGGCTGAAGACTCAGTTTATGGCAGATTAACTGTCATTACATGTTTCAGTTCCTTTATATTTCGCATTTGAGACCTCGTTTTCTGCCATTTTTACATCTCTTTGGTTTTTCTCCTTACTACGGGCCTCTTTCTGTCCGTGGGTTTTGTAGATGAAGCAAAGATTGCCTTGACTCTTTTATCAGATTCTAAGCTGACACAGTCAAACGCAATAAATAAAATCTAACAGAATAGAATTCTTTCTAAGCAGTTTACAAACAACTTTCTAATAGACTTTCCCCGTGGGTCACAAATGTAGACACATATATTATTGATACTACCTGAGTAATCATTATGTAAACAATGAGTCATGCATATTAATTTTTCTTTCAGGAAACATGAAAATGGCTCTCCTAGGAGAACTTAGAAAATATAAAGATTGATATCTTTTTTGCTTTCCTAAGCAGAATGCCTAATAATTTATATTTCTGATTTAGCTAGAAAAGATATAAGACAGTTCACTGATGATAAAAATCATTCCCTGCATTTCATTTTCTTTGTTCGTTTATTGTACATTAAATGAAGGAGTCTAGAGATTCACCAGTGAATTTATATGCATATATTACATAACCCGTGGACACAGACAACAGCGAGGTGAAGGCCTGGGGTGTGGATGGGAGCAGGGTGGAGGGGGTCGATGGGGGCTAAGGGGGAGACATCTGTAATGCTTCCAACAATAGAGATAAATTTAACAAGTACAAGTAAATAAATAAAATGAAGGAGTCTAAATAAATTCCTGTCCGGAAAGTTCTCTCGATTATGCTACAGGCAGTTTATTCTGGTGTTTGTTTCTTCTCCCTTAAGGGAGAGAGAAAAAGGTGGTGAATCCGTCTACTAATTGCTCATTTACTATTTGCAGCAGTTAAGATAGTATTTTTTTTGAAATACAGACTGTGGTAAGGCAGCATGCTCAGTAGCTGGGGCCCATTATGCGCAGGAGAGCAGGAGCCCGAATGGTGCCCACTGTGAGGTTCCAGCTCATGCCTGAGACTGCAGGAAACGGCTTTCCAATCGTGCGCGTCTGCAGTTGGCCAAAGTAGTGTCATTAAAATCTAGATTCTACCAAAGATTTCTGTATACCTTCTAGGAACCCCTCACCCAGAACACCCGCATGACTAGGGAGTTCTTAATTCCTCAGCATGGAGACACTTTCTTCAGATACCTATATGATTTCTAGTTTCTATCAATGTCCACTTAGTAGCTATGGTTAAGAAAACACAGAATGATAAGAAGTGAACATACATCTAATAATACTTAAAAGTGCATTTTCTGACTTTGGGTTAAATGTGAAGACTTGACCACAGGTGATTATTTCCTCTTTCCCCCAAACGTCACACAAATGGCTTGAAATGTGAAAAAATATATATTTTAACTAAGAGGACAAAAAGAAAAAAACAGAATTTTAGAAAAATCATGAGAGTAGTATTTTATTTTTTATTAATTTATTGTTTATTTATTTTTGTTATAGATGTTTCTCCTTCCCCCCCCATTGACACCCTCCGCCCCATCGCCGCCACCTCCCCCAGCTTTGTTTCCATGTCCATCAGTTATGCGTACATGCATGTAAGTTCTGTGGTTTATCCCCCCCCCAATTCTGAAGATTGTCAGTCTGTACCCTACTTCTATGACTCTAGGTCTATTTTGTTCATCAGTTTGTGTAATTCATTATATTTCAGAAATAAGTGAGATCATGTGATATTTGTCTTTCTCTGCTGGGTTTGTTTCACTTAGGTAATACTTTCCAGGTCTCTCCATGTCATCTCAAAGGACAAGAGCTCTTTCTTTCTTACAGCTGCGTAGTACTCCATTGTGTATGTGTACCACTGCTTTTTTATCCATTCGTCTACTGATGGACATTTGGGCTGTTTCCAGATCTTAGCTATTGTAAATAGTGCTCTTGGGAACATAGGGGTACATATATTCCAAAATATATCGCCCTGGCCGGTTTGACTCAGCGGTTAGAGCTTCGGCCTGCGGTCCAGAGAGGCCCGGGTTCGGTTCCCGCTAAGGGCACGTACCTTGGTTGCAGTTTGTCCCCGGCCCTGGTTGGTCATGCGGGTGGCAGCCACTCGATGTGTCCCTTTCACGTCAATGTTTCTCTCTCTCTCTCCCTCCCACTCTATCTGAACAAAAAATGGAAAAATGTCCTCGGGTGAGTATAAAATATATATTTTTTATCTCTCTTTCTAGAGAGAGAGTACTCACACAACTGAAAAAGAGAAAGACAAAGAACCCAATTAAAAAATGGGCAGAGGAACTAAATAGACACCTCCCCAAAGAGGACATATAAATGGCCAAGAGACAGACATGTGAAAAAATGCTCAACAGCACTAATCATCTGAGAGATGAAAATTAAAACAACTATGAGGTACTACTTCACATCTGCCAAATAACTGCCATCAACAAATCATCAAACAACAAGTGCTGGCGAGGGTGTGGAGAAAAGGGGACTCTAGTCCACTGCTGGTGGGATTGCAGACAGGTGCAGCCACTATGGAAAACAATATGGTGTTACCTGAAAAAATTAAAAATTGAACTGCCATTTGACCCAGTAATCCCACTTCTAGGAATATACCCTAAGAAGCCTGAAACACCAATCATGAGAGTAGTATTTTAGAAAGTAGAATAAGATATAAGAGGAATAATTGATATAGCAAAGCAGAGAACATCAAAGGCCAGTTGACCACACCGTGGGGTTCCGGTGGAAAATGAGCTTGCTTATCTCCCAGATCCCCTGAGAGTCTCAGAATGTATGGGAACAGATAACAAGAAAAGTGAAAGTCAGTCTAAAGACCTAACACTGAGAGATTGTTTGAGGTTTCTGTACTCCTTCACAAATACTAAGAAAAAATACTAAGAGGAAAAAAAAAAGTTTACTTTCTGGAGAAGTTGGCTCAGGAACCAGTGACACCAAGGAAGAGAGGTACAGGTGAAAACAGGGTGATGAAGCTGGTCTACACATGTCCCCCACTCTACCCAAAGTCACCGTCCTCTGCCCAGCTTGCAGAACATGTGTCACCACGTTTATCTCTGACAGAAGAGTCTTCTGTGAGAAAACAATTGAAAAGACCTTTAGAAGTTGAGGAGTTACCTAAAGATCTGTGGGAGTCCGCTCTAAGTGAAGTCATCTGTTTGAACCCTGTACCGTATCCCAAGGCTCCCCCATCACCTAGAACTTGAAACGAGCTATTTGTCCCTTGATCATTCATATAAACATTTCCTGAAGCAGTAGCATACCTGAGAGGAAATCTTTTCCCACGACAAAAACCAAAACAAAAAATAAAACTGTTTGTAAAAATGGGACTCGGTTAAAACAGAAAAATAGATTACATAATAATTCTAGACTATAAGAGCAGGGAATTATTTTTTTTGGCAATCAGAATAAAAGAAAATAATATTGGAAGTTAAAGTAACTTAGAGTAAAAGGAAAGAATCATTAGAAGTCAGGAAGAATCTATGAAGTAGCCAAAAAAAACAAACAAAGAAATTAAAAACAATTTTTTTTTTTTTTTGCAGTCACAGAATTCTGTGCAAAGAGACAATAGTAAAAATTTTTTGAATCACTATCAATTCAAAATTGTTAGGAAATAAATCTGTATTCTGACTACTTTTAGTATTCAAATGTATATTTAAAACAAACTTTTTATTTTATCCTTTACCTA